AAACAAAAGTTGTAGCCCTACACTGTAGCTTCCTGAATCTGTTCAAATTATGTTCTGAAGTGCTCCTGTTGTGGAGATATGAGGTAAAGGAATCCCAAAAGTGTCGTGTTTTTTTTTGTTTTTTGCATTTTTCTCCATGAAAACAAAACCAAACAATATGATTTCAGTATATTTAGAAAGCTAAAAGAAAGGGCTACAACTATTGTATCGTGGGGAAAATGACCAAAAAAGGAAGGTGCATGCCCTAGAAAAGGAATGGTCAGATATAGACTACCAAGTTTACTGATAGACTACAAAAAAGTCGGACTCAACTACAAAGTTTACTGATACACTACATAAGACTACAAAAGTCGGACATAGACTACAAATTTTACTGATACACTACAAAAGACTACAAAAGTTGGACTTAGACTACAAAGTTAGGGTTAGGGCTAAAAGGTTATCCAAAGTCAACCTAGCCCATCCATCCCATACATGGCACATATTTGATGGGGAAATGGCTGGGGAATATACAGATACATTGCAGGGACTCTATTCCATGTCTAGTTTGAGGAATCATATGCAAAAGAGAGCATGAGAGCCTTTAGAAAAGGCACTTTTTTAGACTACAAAAGTTTGTAGTGTCCGCTTTTTTATTGGAAAAGTTTGTAGTGTCTGCTGTTTCATTTGAAAAAGTGTGTAGTGTCCGCTTTTTTTTAGACTACAAAAGTTTGTAGTGTCCGCTTTTTGAGACTACAAAAGTTTGTAGTTGACATGTAGGTTATGGTGTCCTTGGCCCTGTCTAGGTTATGGGGATGAGGTTGAAGGATTGACATGATCTTACATATTGCCAGTGCTGCAGCATTAGTTTTTGACATCATGCACAAGTTGTCTTTCACATTAGGAAAGGCTATTCTAAGCTTTTCATATTGATACCTACTGTCTTATCTCAAAACATAATAAGTTCATGTGGGGATATGGCTGAAGGATTGCCATGACTTTACATATTGCTATTGCCACATCATCAGTTTTTCATCATGCCCAAGTTGGCTTTCAAGCCAGAGGAGGCCATTCATGTTGATATCTACTGTTCTGTCTCAATACATGGATACATGGTCAACTTACAACATGACTTGACTTGAGGACACCTCCCAGGATGAATCAGCTCATCAGCCTATAGCCCTCAAAGAGCTGATATCAAAGTTTACTATGTTTGGGACAGGCCAGTAGCTATCAATGTGAAAGCAGACAGTGTGAAAGCCAACTTGGGCATGATGTGAAAAACTGATGATGTGGCAATAGCAATATGTAAAGTCATGGCAATCCTTCAGCCATATCTCCACATGAACTTATTTCCAATAAAAAAGTGGACACTACAAACTTTTGTAGTCTAAAAAGCGGACACTACAAACTTTTCTGATGACAAAAGCAGACACTACAAACTTTTGTAGTCTAAAAAAGTGCCTTTTCTAAAGGCTCTCATGCTCTCTTTTGCATATGATTCCTCAAACTAGACATGGAATAGAGTCCCTGCAATGTATCTGTATATTCCCCAGCCATTTCCCCATCAAATATGTGCCATGTATGGGATGGATGGGCTAGGTTGACTTTGGATAACCTTTTAGCCCTAACCCTAACTTTGTAGTCTAAGTCCAACTTTTGTAGTCTTTTGTAGTGTATCAGTAAAATTTGTAGTCTATGTCCGACTTTTGTAGTCTTATGTAGTGTATCAGTAAACTTTGTAGTTGAGTCCGACTTTTTTGTAGTCTATCAGTAAACTTGGTAGTCTATATCTGACCATTCCTTTTCTAGGGCATGCACCTTCCTTTTTTGGTCATTTTCCCCACGATACAATAGTTGTAGCCCTTTCTTTTAGCTTTCTAAATATACTGAAATCATATTGTTTGGTTTTGTTTTCATGGAGAAAAATGCAAAAAACAAAAAAAAACACGACACTTTTGGGATTCCTTTACCTCATATCTCCACAACAGGAGCACTTCAGAACATAATTTGAACAGATTCAGGAAGCTACAGTGTAGGGCTACAACTTTTGTTTTTTGACCATTTTTGGTAATTGGTCATGTGACCATCATCCCAACATCCCATTACATGGACCCTGATAGGTAAAATCATTCTCCAGTTGGTTTTCTTCACTTTTTGGTCAAACCAGGTGATATTTCCATTTTGGGATGGAACCTGAAGTGGACCCTGAAGGCAGTGCCTGATGTTCTGTACACCATTCTTTATATATATTCAATTTTTCCGCTATTTTTCTGGCTATTTTTGGATATATTACCATATTTGGAACTGGACCCTGGACCCTGACAATGTTACCCAACATGATGATCAGCAATGAGCCCTAATTTTTCCTGATTTTATTGCCATTTTACATTTGGAAATGCACCCTGGACCCTGAAAGGTCAGCTGCCACTAAAAATGAAATATTCATTGAAAGCGCCAGGTACACATATGAAAAGTGCAATGAAATCTCCTAGGAATAAGAATGAAATATCCATTGAAAGCGCCAGGCATCCAAATGAGAAGCACAATGAGATATCCTGGGTTTAGCAATGAAATATCCAATGAAAGCACCAGGTATATCTATGAAAAGTGCAATGAAATATCCTAGGAACAAGAATGAAATATCCATTGAAAGCGCCAGGCATTCAGATGAAAAGCAGGGGCTAACAATGAAATATCCAATGAAAGCACCAGATATATATATGAAAACTCCAATGAAATGTCCTGGAGCTAAGAATGAAATATATATTGAAAGCGCCAGGCTTTCATATGAAAAGCAAAATGAGATATCCAGAGATAATGAATGAAATATTGCAGGAAATCGCAATACAATATTAATGAGATCACTTAGGCCATTTAATGAAAAAACCAAATGAAATACACAGGGAACTTAATGAATGAAAATACTAGACAAAATAATGAGTTGTCTCATTGAACCTCTAGGCATTATACACATCGCCTTCCAGGCATGTGTCTGGTTTTTATCATAAGAGTGTATACCACTAGTGAGATGGAGGAAAAGGCAACCAAAGGACGACTATCTCCGACGTCAGTATAAGACTAGCTTACCAGGAGAAGATCATGCAGGATCCATCAGAGAGCTTTACAAATCTATGTACGCACCAAAGCCCGGAGTCGCGTACAACGACGATACAGGCCTTCGCGTCACCAAAAGCCGCTCACTTCATACACCCCTCTCTCTCTTAGAACGATTGGGGGGCTCTCTGACTGACACTGGATCATCCCTTCAGGATCGTTTGTCTGATAGCACGTCGAACACACAGAGCTCCTTATCAGATGACGACTACATGTCAGTACGCATTACGGAAGTCCCGGACATCCTCTACCACCCCCGAGCAATCAACAGTCCAGCAGCATGGATTCGTCATAACGACACCTTACTCGAGAACGCTCGGAAAGCCACCACAGCACGGCGAGCGGCGCAAGGCATCAAGACATCACCCTACTGTCGTTCTCAATCGCCAACATGTATCTCGGAAGCCATCCACTCCCCTCACGAGCGTACAGAGGTCATGTTTCAGAGGATGTTGAAGGACGAATCCGCGAAGATAACCTACACGAAGAGCACCTGGTCCGCCCCTCATTTCGCGTGGAATCCTGAATTCCTCGAAGTCGCATACCTATTCATTCCTGACGTTGAAAGCGAGGCCCGGCTACGCTACTGGGCCAATTGTTGGGATTCGGTCGGCACCGTTCGTAAGCTCCTTACAACAGCTATTGAACACGGGATCCGCTTCTATCTAGCTCTACCTCCTGACGCCGTGCGACGGTTCCGCCCTATCTTGGTGGACAGCCTCGATCAGAGCTCAGCATCTTTCATTTACAATGTCGGTTTTCAAGAAGCCCCACTTGCCCCTGCGGACAATACGGCGACATTCTGTGCAACCTATCTAGCCCGTATGAACGACGTTCTCCGTCGCCCCCACGCGCGCGCTTTCATTGCAGAAGGAGGCCAATTTAGTTGGATAGCAAGACGATGGACAGGGACAAGACTCGTTGAGGAGTTCATGTCCGGACCCTCCATCCAGACCACGGTCCACAACAGAGGCTTTTACGATTCGGCATCTGAAGACGCTTCGTACCTCGCATATGACGTCGTCTCGGAGCAGGAAAAAGACTTGCTGCTGGGATATTGCGCGGGCTCGAACGGTTGTTTGGGTCGCTGGCTCTTCCCTCCTGCCGACATCTTCAATGGAGGCTTCACATTATGGACAGGAGAATGGAATGAAGCGCTCGATCACGTCTACAGAAGACTCGCCGACGATATCGCTAGAGGTAAAGCAAAGCTTCGCACTCGGGAGAAGTGGAAATGCTGGATTAGGAATAACGATCGAGGACAACGCCGCCCCGCCTACCTGCCTTCTACTGCAGACTTCCAGAGTGTAATGGAGGGCATCTCGCTAGCGGGACTCAAACCCACCTGGCACAAGGAACCTTTGGACAAAATCACGTTCCCCGAGAAACAATTGGACTAAACGGGAACTGGAAAGTTGGGGGGCTCTGTAGTACGTCAGTCTAGTGAGTAGCCTCGGACTTCTACTTCTTATCCTTTCCATTTCCCGACGCGCAGTCATTACTTCACTACTATATGTTACCTCATTCATGTTACGCTTACGTCATCACTGTACATATACCTCATGTAGCCCATGAGGCAATCTATCTCTTTTACTACCATATCGTCTGCCCTACTTGGCTCCAAAAGCCCTACTAACGGCTTTCATCCAAGCAGTAGGCGATACGAGTAAGGGGACGTTCCGCATTCTACGATCAGAGCACTCTCCACCGGGACTGTCCGTGGAGATCGGAGTATGGGTACTGTGAACAGTCACGTTCCACGACTCCGAGCGTCTGATCCGTCAACTGAGAGACCTACTTCGTGGCACTAGTGGGTACCACCTTTATCATAAAAATAAGGTAACTGCCTAGGGCTCCCTGTGTATAAGTCCACAGTCTTTATGATAGGAATCATTCCAGTTACCATGCCTTTTCATTAGGCAATTTTCATTAGCTGCTTGGCCAATATCATTGCGATTTTCACACTTCAGTCACCCACCTTGAACAAGCTATTAGCCTTGTAAAATGTAAGAATGTATCCAGGCTAATAGGTTGTGCGGCCATTTATTTTTCTTGCCTTGGTAGAAAATATAATATTGGATTGGGTAGAAAATGTTTGACCTTTAATATTGTGACCAGAAATTTTTGGGTAGATAAATTGTGTTCAAAAATATCCTAGTCAAGTGAAAGTGGTCAGAAATATTTGAAGGGGTTCAGACTGGTAAGAAATATTTGAAGTGTGTCAGACTGGTAAGAAATATTTGAGCCAAGTCAAACTGGCCAGAAATATTTGAGGTGTGCCAAAGTGGCAAGAAATGTTTCAGTGGTGTGACATCGCTCGGATATATTCTAAGCATGTCACACTGCTGAAAAATCTTTTAGCCTTGTCACATGGCTCAAACATATCCGACCAGTGTCACAGGGTATCTGGGGTCCCAGTTTCAGAAAAAAAACTTGGTTTTTCTGGTGCAGTTTTCTCAACAATTTATATTTATTGAAGTTACAATCCAAAATCATATATTTCAACACTTTGTAATGCATAACTCTTCTGAAGTGGTACTTATCACTATTTATATACACTTTCTTCCTATCAATGGTCAAAACAATGAGTCTGTATAGCTTTGTCGAAACTCATCAGATAAAGCTATCATCTCAACAGTCTCCAATAACTCTGTCTCTTCACCCTCTTCTTCATCACCCTCATCATCCTCATCATCTTCCTCCTCTTCATTGTCATCATCATATATCTCTCTTTCATTCTCAGCAACCATGGCAGTCATGTCCAACTTACGTGCCTCCATAAGATCTTCCAATGAGGGTCCCCATGAATCTGGCATAGGTTTGTGAGGATCAATCATACGTGTTTTGTCTTGCCAGTTGTTGCATAAGCGTGCCAAGAATTCTGCACGCAAGACCATCTGATAGACTACTTCTTCACATTCATTCTTCTCTATAGCCATTGTTACGCATCTCCACTCCTCCATGAGCCAATCTTGCATGGCACTTCTCTCATATGATAGTCTCCTGTCTTCCTCATTACATCTATCCAACTCAAGCATGGATTTTATTCCCTTTCGAACATTTTCATCACCCAACCATTTGGGGATTTCTCCTCCAGGTGAAATATCAGTCTCATCTAGGCCCACATCTTGCCATATGTCATCATCAACATCCAACTTGAACAATCCTTCACTGGCAATAGGATGAGGTGCACGAGCACCACGTGGTGCTTGTTTCTTCTTAATCATAGCCTCCAATTCTCCACATAACTCATTGTATTTTCTTGCTAGCTGTTGAATACCAGGTTCCTTTCGTTTGATTTGAGACTCTGAGTGGTCTTGTAGTTTCTTATCTGCATGATGTCATTAGTGAGGTACAATAATCATATCAGTATTCATAGCCTACCATTGGTATTTGTTTTACGGTAAGCTCTTTCCAATCCATCTAGTTCAAATTTCCGCTGCTGAAGTCTGGTTCTCAACCTCTTTTTTAAGGCCAAGGCATTTATCCGGACTTTTAAGAATTTGTTTCCCAGTAGCCGATCAAGCCGGAGTCGGCCATCTGTTCCCAGCATTCCACATTTACTTTTGTAGGCTCTCTCTAGTTTGTTGCATTTCTCTTTGAGTTCAGCAAGTGTCACTCTCACTTCAGAGACATCCCACCCATCTTCATACTGCCCAGATTGAATCATACCCTCAAACTTGTATATTTCTTTATTGCACGAATCTGTATCCTCTTTCAATTGTATAATCTCTTCAATCAGTTTATCTGCCAGATTCTTGGATTGACGGGGCATTGGCTTAGTCTGTGCAACCAGTTGAGCAGCCCATTCCTCTCTTAGAATATCTTCAGTGATATCTAAATCTGCCAGCTCATCTAAAACATCAAGAGCTTCTGACTTGCGTGTATTCATGGAAACCCATTTACGTCTGAGCCAATCTCCAAGATTCAATAGTGACTTCTTATCCAGATGCTTCACTTGAGTATCCAAGGTATAGAGGCGGTTATAGTATCCAGTAACTCTCAAGGATGGGATGAGCAGTTTAATTGAGCTCCAAAAGCGCTCACAGCCCTCGCCATCTGTAAGTCCAAAGCCTATACACTTTCTTGGGTGATAAACGAGCTGGCAAGCCCATTGATGGCCATAAGCATGAAAAACCAATATAGCCCAGATGAGTCTATCATGAAAGTCTTTCAGAAAGCCCCACTTAATACAACTACGATGAAGCTGACAGCCAATATCATAGAGCACACCCACTCTGGCAGTCGAGGGTAAATGGTTGAATAAACGTTCTAAAAGAACCAGAGCATAGTGTTGCTTCTCTCCTGCAGAAGTCATGTTTACCAGCCATAAGACACGATCATGTCGACAGAGAAGAGCCATGAGTCCAGTATCAGAAAAGAACTGAGTGCTAGCTTTTACTCGTTTTTCATCTGCAGCAGTAAAAGAGTCTCCACACATGTTCAGCACAGAGTTTGGAACTTTGAGTCCAGGCTCACACAAGTCAGGATTTTCATCCTTCTGAGGCTGTAGAGGACTATCTTCAGACTTTTTACCTTTTGACTTGGACTTTGGCTCTGGGCGAATTTCATTGACTACATCCTCCATGGCCTTGACATCTTCTGAGGCAACGAATGCTGTATCTGGATGTGTCCGAGGCGCAGGTGCCTCTTTACCCTGAGCCTTGCGTGACTTCTGCTTGAAACAAGCATCCAAGCAGACAATGAAATCAACCCTTATAAAAAAAGTTAACCTGATAATAATAGTGTTGCCAAAAAACTCCACATACAAATCATCAGGCTTTGACCAATCCTTCCCACCAAAGCACAAAGGACACCGTCCTCTCAGATAATCACTTGGTCTTTCCAAGTTTGGTGCAGCAGTATGCATATCCTCATCTAAACATTTGCTCCAGTACAATCCTTTCACTGTACAAAAAACCACATACCAATTTCAATATTATCTTCTAAAAAAAAAAAAAAAGTTAGACATAAACCTTTTTCTGAGCCAAAAAGGAAAAAAAAAAACCTTGATCAATATTATCTGTGTTGCACAAAAAAAGAATTGGCATGAGAACTTTTCACTTGAAAGAGAAATAAATACCATCAGCCATTTCCATGTTTTCATCTGCAAAAAAGTTTTATTGTCAGCAGAAAGATTTCTTATATCAAGAGCAAAAACAGAAACCTTGTTCCATTCCAACATTTTTATCTTTTCAAAAAAAGTCAGAATTACACAGATCTTTCTGATTAAAGAAAAAACCTTGGTCCATTTCTTCATCTGAAAAAAAATGTTTGAGTTGCAGCAGAAATATATCTTGACTGAGCCAGAAAAAGAAATACCTTGCTCAATCTCATAGCCTTCTGTTTGAAAAGTTTTTAGTTCCAAGAAACATTGTCATAAGCAAGAAATACCTGAAACTTTGATTGAACTTCTCATGTCATCCAGATAATTGTTGACAAGAAGGTTCTTCTTATCAATCAAAGTTGCATACCACTGCATAGCACTTCCAAAACGGCGACGTAAACTATTCTAAAATGAAAGAAAAAAAAAAAAAAAACTCTCAAAAAGTGAGAAACTTTGACAAAAAAAAAACATACCCGAGTTGTCAACTTGTATCTTCTGTTCCCAAGAAAAGCTTCCAATGTTTCACACCAAGCAGTAGTATTGGGAGCTGCATTTACAAACAGCTCATTTACAAACTCGAGCATGTTCAAGTCAACTGCAAGAGATGGATTAATTGGTGCACATGGAAAGAACCCCAGTTCAAGGAGTTGAAGTGCTGGGGAAGTGCAATTGCAAACAGAAAGCATCTCAATACCTGCCCAAATTATATTAGTGACATCTCAAAATGTATAAGACAACATACGCTCGAAAAAAATGCAAGCTACATTCAACAGTCTGCCTGACGCACAACCGGTGCATTGCCTTCGAGAACGAACTTGTGCCATATTTCGCAAAGAGTCCGTTTCATGCAGAAGTTTGATATATGGCTCCATGAGACTAGGAAGAACCTCATTCTCCCATCGCAGAAATTGTTTCTGCTTCTTCCCTGGCATCTGGACTGTATTACCATCATTCTCAAAGGTAAGAGTTGTCGCCAGTGGCTCAAAGGGGTCTGTGTTCTTGGAAGCTGAGATACCCTCTGGGTTAAAGGGCTGAACAAAATGTCCAGCAGGTGTATACAGATTTCCTAGAGCAGCAGATGCAAGCTTGGCAGCTTTATGAGGTTTCCTGGTTTTGGGGGCATTGTTTACAGGGAAAAGCTTGGCAGGCAAAGACTTAGCTGGCTTTCTTTTGTACATTGACAATATGAGTTGGCTGAGTGGAAGACACAGAAAGAAGGGGGGAGGGAAGCAGATGTCAATCACAGACCAGGCATGCTTAAGTGACCCCCCAACTTTCCCAAAACGGACCAAAGTTCACATGTCTATTGAAAAGAGTCCGAGCACCAAAATAAACGAGCTATGCAAACAAAAAGATATGTACAGGCAATTATGCAGTTGGAATGCGATGTGGGGTGGAGGGGGCACGACCGAAGTAATCAAAGAAGGTTTGGCAATACAGTCCGACAGCCATCTCCTCCATACGCTCAAAGTGCACGCGCGTTGTTGTCAACTTCCCAGACACATCAAAGATTGACAATGATGCAAGTGCACGCGCCTCTGGTCCAGGCCAACCTGTGATGAGCACCCATAAAGCCTCCACTGACCTTACCCGATCCCTCCAGTTCTCCACGACGAGTCCCACGTTGGTCTCCGGCAATCTCCCAACAATATAATTATCGTCATCCTCGGGGAAAATCCTCCGAACCAACTCATCTCAAACTGCGGCCGAATCCTGCGAGGCCCAATCTGCCAGTAAAACTTGCTGGTCCACCATGCGAAGCTCCAAACGAAAATTTTGCTCAAAAAGGTTCCACAGAATCTCCGCTGAGATCGCCGGCGTCAGATTGTCGGTATTCCCTTCCATCACAGCAACATCACGCCAGAAGATCGATTGGGGACGTTCACCCACGTTGACTCTGGGTCCGAAAAAAGTCGCTTGAGCATTCTTTAGCGACTCCCCTCGCTTGATGGCATAGTTCTGTTTCGATTTTACCGACTTTCTTCCGCCCGTGGCCGGAGTTTTCCCCTTCTGACTGAGTTGCGCTGTTAGAGGTATGTCGGCCCGCGAAGTATCGACCAGATTCATCTCCTTTGAGAAGTGATAGAAGAAATCGCGCCAGTGTTGAGTATGTGGCGCGGGCCCTGGAGAGTAGTCGAGAGATGTGAAGGACTGAAGCCATTGGCTGCGCGAGATTAACCAAGCAAATGTGAAGGCCTTGCGGTTTGTTCCCCTCATAAAAAGCCAAGGGTCGGGAAACTGGTAGCCACGGACACGATCTTTGGAGGATTTGATGCGGGACGGGTCGGGTTTCACATTCTGCAGGGCCTTCTTCCACACCGAGCATTGAGGGGGTATGAAGGCCTCCTCAATCTCACTAAACTTCTCGTGATTGACGCTTGTTGTGACTTATAGATATTTTTATCAATAGAAGGAAAGCAAGTAGATTATCAATACATACCNCCTGACATACTCCCTGATGCCTTTGTGGACGACGAAGCAGGGTGCCTTTGTGGACAACGAAGCAGGGTTTGAGTCTAATGCAATAAATTGTGAGCAAGAACCAACGAGAACTCAGCGACAAGCCACCACTTACAAGGAGACGCCCGCACAACTTCGCGGTCTGTTCGACTGGGCCCTGTATCAGGCTCTACGGATAACGAGCCACTCTGCGGCCCCTTCACAACTGGCTTCGGGTCTTCTGGTCCAAGAAACCCTTCGAAATGTGTTTGACATGCCTGTATATAGAGAGTGCTTCGAGGGGAAGCTGTCGTGATATGAGGAAAAGGGTGATCTGGATAGTCGTCAAGGCAGAGTTCACGGGGGTCCACCTCTGAAGGACGGCGATCACGGAGGGTGGCAATGCTTTTTGGCGTTGGTGGGCGTACATTCAAGATGTTGATTTGTGGAGGGATTTCGGCTGGGGTACGAACCAACCAAACGGGCGCCCCAATGCGGAACAGAGTCTCTGCTGTCTCGAGGCTGTCAGTGATGGCACCCATCACACTCTCGTCAACAGGATAAACCTGGCGGTTAGGTTCAAGGAGGCGAGCCTCCCAGGTTTTGAACCAGTCCACCATTGCAAGAGTTTCCAAGTAGAGCCGTTGGAAGCTGGCGACGTGCCAGACCAAATCACGATAGTAAAATGATGTGAGTGAGAGGCGGCCCGAAGCGTCGCGCATCCGGTTGGCCACGAAGAAGAGACCACCACAAATCTTGGCGTCTTTGGTGCGTGCGATCTCGGCCACTTGGGAATGGAGCTTTTTGGCCTCAGACCTCATGACGTTTGCAATCTTCTCGTCAAGGGTTCCCAAGTCTTTGAAGGCCGAGCCCTCCACAGCCTTGAAATGCCTTGGTTTGACGTCCCACCAAAGCCAATAGAGGGGGTGGTTGTTGATGTCCTGCTCGTGTGGTTGGCGCAGCACAAATGTGAGGTGGGCAGTTTTGCTGAACCACCATTGGGGGCAGATGGTGAAATCGGCATGTGCGAAACGACCATTGGCACGGGCTCGGACGGGCAAAGGAGCTACTGTAATGTAGGGCAACCAAGAAACGTTTGGTGAAGTCACAACGCCTCGTCTGGGAACCAATTGACCTCCCGGAAGAGAAAAGGTGGACATCTCTCTCGTTGAAGGGGCAAAGGATTCGTTGAGCTCACCCAGGACGAGGGCGTCGTATGGTGTGATATCCTCTACCAAACAAACAGTTATTAGAGTCATGCAGCGACGCAATTATCACTTACCACAATCCCGTTGGTTCAAAGGCCACTTGGTGTCTCCGTCGTCATAGTGCTCGCGGCCATAGCAATCTGGGCTGCCGTCTGCGTAAATGATCAGCATTCTGAATGGGGGAAACAAGCGAACCACTATACATGAATGCGCTTGACCCGACATAGATGAAAGGGACCTGTAAAAAGTAAGAAAAAAGTTAGTTGATATCTGTGCGGATCGAGTATGAGCCAGGATATGGTGGGGTCAAATGAATGATCACAGAAACGAATGATGACAGATTCACCACTCCGTGCGTATTCCCGGGATCAAGTATTCGCCACGAGAGGTAATTCTGTCTGGCAACCGACATACAGTCTGGTTGCTGCAACCGACGGATAGTCTGGTTGCTGCAACCGACGTATAGTCAGGTCGCGGGCGCGAGGAAGGGTGCATGGCGAAACAAACGAAACGCGACTTGGGAGCCAAGAAGGGTGACCAATGAAACACAACTTGGGCGCGACAAATGCTGCATGGCCAAAGGAACAAAACACAACTTACTGAAGATTGAATTGAGATATTGATCTTCTGAGGGTACCGGATGGTAGTGTCGATTGTCTGAGTGCAGGAATCGGTGAGCAAGTGAGCGAAGTGTGCTCATGCCAAGGGAGAACCGACATCAAGTCAGGTTCTAGCAACCGACGTAACGTCAGGTTGCTGCAACCGACACAAAGTCAGGTTGCGAGTGGCGGGGGCAAGAGGCAAGATTCAGGCCGTGCTTACCTCGAGTAGTAGCGATGGATGTCGAAGCTTGTTGACTTAGGCGTTTGAAGACCGCGTTGTTTGGTTTGAGACCTGAGAACAAACATAGTCAACGCAAACCAACATAACCTCAAAAGAAGCGCTCTATGAAGCGCTTCAGCGCCACCATGCCCGTGTGCCAGCAGACTCTATGTCGCTGGGGTGGGTCGACCAGACTATAGTCGGTCGTTTCCCGCACCGTTCAACCAGACCGTAGTCGGTTGAAGCGGTCCATCAGGACTCATGGTGCGACCGAACGTACGCCCAACGCCAATGCCAGGACCCACTTGCAAAATCGCCACCAAAATTACGCCGCCTTGCCTGCCTGCCAGTCGACTTTATGTGCTGGGGTTGGTCGACCCGTTTGTAGTCGGTCGATGTGGTCGATCAGGACCGATGATGGCACAATGGAACGTGCGCCCAACGCAAGAGCCTCTCACAAAAAGAAGTGTCTCACAAAATCGCCGCTGTGAGCCTTTGTGCAGCTAGTGTCAATTTACGCGATCTTTGGGCCCCACTTGCGCCAACCGTCGACATTTTTGCCGAGTATTGCATGGGTACGCACTCAACCATCCGCCAGAAAACAAGATGTTCCCAATTTTCATATAGCATCCAGCCGCGATGCAACCCATCAGCGTCCCCCATTTTTTATATGGCAACCAGCCGCGATGCAACCCATCAGCACCCCCCAGCAGCTTTCCTCCACCAACACCCCGCTTCTCCTCGTCCAGAAACAAATCATATAGCGCCGTGATGCCACCCATCAGCGTCCCCAGCAGCTTTCCCAGCTTTCCCCCATCATTTTCACCAAGAACCCTGCTCGTCGGTTTCCGTCTAGATTGCTGCCCAAAACCCCCACTCACTCACCATCTTTATCTCTGACCCAAATCCCTGCTCATCAGTTTTCATCTAAATATCTGCCCAAACACTCCCCTCACTCACCATCCTCCTCTCTGGTCCAATTCCCTGCTCATTGGTTTGTTTCACCACCCAGTGCCTACACCTGACCTTCAGCTCCGAATTATCCATCTTATCTTGTTTGGCACCGCTCACTTCAGCTCTGAGATCTCCAATTGCTTTCATCTAAATATCTGCCCAAACACTCCCCTCACTCACCATCCTCCTCTCTGGTCCAATTCCCTGCTCATTGGTTTGTTTCACCACCCGGTGCCTGCACCTGACCTTCAGCTCCGAATTATCCATCTTATCTTGTTTGGCACCGCTCACTTCAGCTCCGAGATCTCCAATTGCACCTCAATTACCATCCCCCGCCAGTCAAACAGTCAAACCCACGCAAGTCACATTGATCATCTCTCCCACACTTTCACAAACAGGGATGCTTCGACACCGAAGATTTGTTTATGTGGTCCTCCTCGACCCCATCTTCACTTCTGTAACGCATCAGTTGCTTACGTGAGTCATTATTTTGCCAGCACTCTCTCGTTTCGACATTTCTCATATCTTCTTCAGCAACAATCATCTCTTCAAACACCCATCGAACTTAATACACCTCAACGTTACCTACCTGTTAACCATGAGCCGTCGTCTTCGCTCTGCGGTAAGTTATCCCCAACAACATATATTTCCTTTTTGCTTCTATTCTAATACCTGGCCAACAGACCATTTCCACAAAGGAGAATGTGCCCGACGTGGCACCACCTAAACGGGGACGGCGTGCTTCCGTTCATGCCTATTCCGCCCCCAGCCTTCAAGTTGCCGATACAGGTGCACCTGCACCTTTCAGTCAGGCCCCCACTGCTAACGACACTCGCAATCAAGAAGTTGGGCTAACCCAAGTCAAGTATGGGCCGCCTAAGAAGAAGACCGCCTCTTCCGCCGGCAGCTTACAAGTTGCTGAGCCAGCCGCCAATTTCGCTCAGGCCCCCACTGCCAACAACTCCACCCATGTCAAGAATGGGCCGCCCAAGAAGAAGACGGCTGCTGCTGCCGTAGAGGGACAGCGTCGCCCTTCGAATGCTAAGGTCTTCGATGGTGTACACATCCCAGGCAGGGTGCAAACCTCGAGGTAAGTTATCTCTTCCCTGCATTCCCTCCACATCAAGTCGACTCAGGTCGCTCGCATGCTGCTTGACTTGATGTCAGCGGCAAATTTTTCAACCAGACATGAGTTGGTTGCCGCGTGCTCTGTGCTTTCCTGATGCAGTCCACAAGTGCTGACTCATCTGCCCAATAGGAATGTAGGCCATGAAGCGGCGGCTCGTCCAAAGGCTGCCGAGGAAGCTAGGGTGCAGGCTTCAACGTAAGTTATATGCTCATGCCCTCCACATTCATTCCCTCCGCATCGAGCCGACTTAGGTCGCTCGCATGCTGCTTGACTTGGTGTCAGCGGCATTTCCTTCAACCAGACTTGAGTCGGTTGCCGCACGTTCATTGTTCACCGCTTGCAGTCCCACAATTACTTACCCATTTGCCTGTAGGATTGTTGACAATGAAGTGCCTGTTGCGTCTGATCCAAATGCTGTTCACTCCGACAGGTGAGCTTTTGTTCTTCTTTAAGCTTCTATTCTTCTTTTTTTCTTCTTTTTTTTTGGTGCTGGTTTGGATGGAGTGCCATTCGCCGCTTGTGTTGTTCTGGTTTGCCGTGCGACCCCGAGGGTGTGGCCTTTGTCCCTCGAGCTGACTTAGGTCGCTCGCATGCTGCTTGACTTTATACCAGCGGTAATTTCTTCAACCTGACTTAAGTTGGTTGCTTTTTCTTTTAATTTTTCTGTCTGACAACTAAACTCATGGTCTTGGTACCGGCCATTGCAGGCCCAAGCATGTGTCAAACAAGTCAGGGATTACTACGATCCATAAACCGATCCTTAAACCAGCTCCTGTGCTCAAAACGTACGGTTCTACCTGGAAATCCTCTTCTGCTGAACGTACGGCCCCCGCTGCGATCACCTTGAAGTTCGTAAATTACTTGCTGTTTGTATGCATATTGAAACTCACGTTTTGTTTTTAGTACGGACAATAGCGACCACACGCTATCGGACTTAACCTCGACGTGTTTGGATGATGAGGACATAACCCTGCCTGACCTGCCAGAAGGCGCCAATAGCTATCATTCAAGCTTCGACGTCAATGATTTGCCTTCAACCGGAAAGGTACTCACCGGCATCAGCGACGACGACTTCCATCCAAGGTCGTTGACGATACATGACCTCGAACTGGATGAGGTCCAGGAGATGCGAGATGCATGCAAGTCCAAAGACAGGGCGTATTGCTTCAGCTACGCCAACAAGGCCCCTCGTTACTACCATGGCCGCGAGATGGCAGAAGGCTCCCAGACTGCAGCCGACTGGTTTACCACATACATGGACGACAACACCGGGAAGTGGCTCCCCATACCGCACGGCTTTTCAGCCCCTCACTGGCCTGAGGACCACGTGGACGCGATCAACATCTTGAAGGAGGAAGACATCCTCCACATCAATACCTACATCATCGAGGCTGCGATTGCACTGGGCAGGACTCGCAGACCTGGAGACGACCCTTTGGAAATCCTCTCGCTGGAGGATGACCTTCCGTGGGACGAGAAGAACCGCATGCGCTCCCTTCTCTGCTCGGATGCGGTGACATATCGGTTCACCCAGCCATGGGATGCTGGGCACCACCACTATGAAGGCTCTTTGCCACAGCCCGGGGAGCAAGACGCCGCAGATCGCTTAATCCAGGTGTTCCTGGAGGATTCGGAGGAATATGTCCCCATTCCTAAGGGGTACACTGCTCCTCGGGAACCTTACGACCACATTGACGCCCTGAATTGGGAGAGGATCGTGAATGAGAGAACCAGGCGGCGCCAGAGCTTGGCCTCGCAGGAAGTCCCTGAAAGCGACCTCAGTGGCTCGGATTGGGAAGGCGCTCGCCAGGACTTGATGCGAGATCACGCCAGGCGAAAGGAACGAGGGGATGAAGTCATTGATACAGAGGATGAGGACAACGAAATGGAGGATGAGGAAATGGAGGAGGGTACACAAAGCAGGCCACACTCGCGTTCGGCCTCAGTCGCGAGGAGTGCCCGCTCCACTTCTTCCGCATCGTCGACTCCACCTGCAACTTCGGCTGCAGAATTCCTGGCCGAGCTTGGGATGACGTTGCCGGTGGAGGAGGCCATTCTCGAGGCCGTGTCAACAAAAAAGGTCACTCATTTCGAGCAAACGTGCTACTCATTGTTTGGCGAGTATGTCTGCCGGATGGCGGCTGAGTTGGGCACTCAATTCGGACGGCGATCTGAGTTCGTCTTGGAGCGGGCTGAGCTTCTGTTGAAGGAGAAACGAGGGCCCAACAGGGCAAACAAGTTCCGATCGTATATTAGCCAGACGCGCAAGGATGACATGCAAGGAAGTAAGTGGCACAGTTTTTTCCAATTGACAAATGTAGTTCTAATAGCATTCTGGGCAGTGACCAAGGAAGAAAAGGCCAAGTTCATGGATCAGTGCTATACTGAGTACATGCAGGGCACTACCACCAGTGAGGAAAAGGAAGAGCGTATGCAGGAAATTTACGAACACCTTCATGACGAGATCGTGGACGGTGGCTCTTCTATCGTCGCACCGACCCCGAATTCGACATTGCGGGCTTTATTGTTTACTCAGGAGACAAGCCGGCGGCACATCAAAAGGATGGCCTCTTTGTTAACTCAGCATTTTTAAAGGAAATCTTCGAACGCGAGAATTATCCAATTAGGAAGTGGACAGACATCTTCGCCACAACCATTCGGTGAGACACACATTAAGTTCTTTTCACAATTTTTGATTAACTTGGCACGGTAGAGCTGCACGTTATAAACAGGAATTGAGGCAAGGCTTACAGATTGACGACAGCCATGAAGGAAGCAAAGACGCACCTGTTGCAGCGAACGCAAGCCGAAAGACTTCAGGTACAAGTTCATCTTCCGAAAGGTATGCACCATCGAAGGATAGTCAAAAGGAGTTCAAGCAGATTTTTATGGCTAAATGGCGTAAGTCGGACATGCGAATTGTCATTGGATTTACTCAAGTTCACCCAGTTGAGACCGTTCCGCGCCCAAAGAGTAAAAGAACAACAATGCCGTTGACAACATTCGCAAACTACGCAGAGGCGGACAAGGTTGCGCTCACCGGATGGCCTTCAAACAAGGTGGACACTCCCTTGGGCCCGAATTTTATTTCAAACAAGCTATCTCAGAAACAATGGGCATTGCTCGCCAATTTGCTGGACTCGGGGAAGATGAAGATCATTCCTTGGGATCAAAGTAAGTCCTGTTCGTCGTTTAATTGCCCATCAATGATCATGATTTCAATAGAATTTCTTCAAATATCAGAGGATAATGCCCAGTATGGCGAAATCCCCCTCGTTTTCAGTTCTAACGGCAAGGCATTGGTTTTTGTCAAGGATTCGCAACAGTGGATCAATCAGTTCTGCAAGATTCAAGGTGATGGGAGGAAAGGACTGGGGAAAAGGTCTCATGTTGAGGAAGAGGAAGAGGAAGAAACTCAGAATCTTCAAGGTCCATCATCCCGCCCATCTTCCCCGCCGTTGAAGAAGCGAAAGGTCAGCTTTGTTACTCTTCCCAAGGCCAGCTTCTATGACAACCATCGCATCGCTCCGAAATCGTACAAGGTCGCTCCTCGATTCCTTAACTCCTCTTCCACCCCTTCGACTTCGAAACCAACTCCTCAAGTCACTAAGGAAACTGAAGCATTTTTCCGTGCCATTCAAGGTTCCTCAGCCTCTTCGTCTTCGAAACGTGCTTGATGATGTAAGTCTTACCTTGCAATCGTCTTATGATTATTGCTTACTGTTGAACCAAAACCAGCCTCTCACAAATGTCTACCGCCAAGAACTTATCATTACAAGTGCTTTGCCCATTTACATTACAAGTCTTTAACCATTGCTTTCCACCCGCTTTGCCCATTTACATTACAAGTCTTTAACCATTGCTTACCACCCGCTTTGCCCATTTACATTACAAGTCTTTAACCATTGCTTACCACCTGCTTTGCCCATTTACATTACAAGTCTTTAATATTGCTTACCACTGAGCCTATCCTTACTAGCTGCCCTTCTTTTGAACTCTGCCCTTCCTTGTCAGTATTGCCACATTTGACAGCTTTACTTTACAATCATTTGATCATTCCTTCTCTTTGAACTGCAACTAGTC